TACAAAGGAAGTGATTATTACCTTTTCAAGCTGGATCCATGGCCAGTTAGCACAAGTAGAGATGCACCAATCCACCTTTTTTCAGTTCCGATCCGATTCCGATACATATTTATCGATAATGATTCCGATATTTCTATTATCATAACTCTCAATGTTATTGTTGTTGTTGGTAAAATGTGTAAGGCTACACGAAGCTGTAGTCAACCCAGCATTGCATTGTGCTGGCTTCACATACAAACAGGAAGCGGCATCACCTGTCAGGTTTTTCAAATTAAATCATTTAAACTGAAGTGTAAGAGTTTGTAATTTTGATCATATAGAAGGAGCTGTTCCATCTCGTCTGAGCGTCGTCATGGAGACAATTTGTGGGCCCTTATTACAGTTCAGTCTGATAATTTCAAGTGAGACTGTGCGGGTTGAGAATGTTTAAAGTTTCCAACCATATTTCTTGATCAGTGATTTAGATAGGCACAGTCAGTCCCATATCTAAATTACTTCAATATCGGACCCGATACAGATATAAGATCGGATCGGTTTCTAATTACAAGGGGACCAAAGTATGTTTTTGGTGGCCCAAATATAATCTGTACATTTGAAAACAATACAAAAAAGGGGATTTCAAGCCACTTAAAGATCTTTAAAGCGGAGATAAAAGATGTTCTAAAAATGTTATTATGATGTATTTTAATAGAAATGTTTGTTGACATTTGTATTGACATGTTCAGTAAATTTATCACATTAATCTTTAAAGCCCAAAAGCAACACATCTAGTGATTTACAGTTATTGTAAGAGGGTCCCTGCTACACCTGCTCCATCTTCATCCACCATAACATACTCTATACCTGTTGCAGCAGCACATGAGAAACAGCAGCATAATATCAACTCTGAACTGTTCAACCCTGTGGATCTTTATCTTTGTACACACAGCAGCAGCTCAGCGAGGAGCTTTGTTCTTGTGTTTGCATGTACATGTTGTTTTATTCTCTGCTGAAAAATCAAGCTCAGGCCTGCATGTTCACACTGCGATATGGAGGTTTAACAAACACTGGCACACAATGCAAAGACAGATCTGGATGGAGGCAGTGTTATGCCTCAGTTGTACTGGTGCTGCAATGCTAGTGAATGGCAGTCTGTAATAGCTGGAGTGAAACAAGAGAGGAAAATCTGTTTGTGTTTTTTTGCACCCCTTCATCACTGGAATAGTCTGGATGACCCAGTCACGGGTTTGCACTGCTGTCCGTCTGTGAATGTGGGGGATTCTCTCTCAGGGTCCTGCTACTGTTGCACCATCGTTCACCCTTTAAGTGCTTTAACTAAGCGTTGGGATGAATGCAACTGCACTGAGAAACTTCATGATGTCCTCCATTTGTTTATCAAAGATAGAATTCCTCAGCAAACCACAACATTAAATCTGATTGCTTTTTGGCACAAGACTTCAGAATCTTTGAATACTTGTTGTCACTAGCCCTCAATTGCACATGAACAACACTGTGAAGGCGGAGGATAGTGTTTACTGCTCATACCCGCCCGTATTCACATCAGATCGCTCTGATCAGCTTCTTACCTGCACTGTGCTTCTGGTCTGAATAACATTCACTGCTCTGCTGAAGGTGGCAGACAGAAAATGTCAGACCACCACCGGTTGATGCAGCGATGACTGGACTCACTAATGACAGAGAGGACTGATGTGATGTTTGACTTCTTCACAACAACGTCACACAGCTCTCTGTGTTTTGACAACATGCCATCACCATGTAATGATGATGATACAGCTCATAGTTGGTGCTACCCTAAATCGTGTCTTTTACAGTGTGCTTTCATGTCTAACACGACACTCATGCTGGGCGGTTGCACCAACATGTTATAAGGAGAGTAACAGAGGATTGAAAAATATCACCGGACTGACAACAGGACTCTGATTTAACTGACCTATTTATCGGCTGGTCTTGATAAAAAGTTCAGTCTGAATATCCTCCGAGATAATGAGCAAATTCAGATTAAACTCTGGCTTCACCTGTCTCAACATGATATCTAACAGGCTCTGTGTTATCATGTTAGCCGGCAGCAACCGCACTTGATTCATTATCTTCATAAATTGTGCTGGAAGTTGAAGCTTGGCTTGAAAATCTCCGCACACAAATCTCTGCTTACTTGTTTAACATCAGTGTATCAAATGATTAAATTAGTACTTTGGTTAAAGTACCATTATCAATCAGAAATAATTCACTTCTATTTCTCAGTGGTTTAGAAAACAAGAAGTCTCAGAAAACGATTAATGAACAAAGACTTTCTTTGACCATGCTGACTCTTTTCATTACACCACACAGAGCAGATAGATGACTCGCTGGGTGACCTCTGTCAAAGCTTCAATGTTTCTATGTTCACGCAGATGTCTGAATCATTTGGACTCTCTGAAAAATACAAGACAATCTTAGCCTTTTTCTTTTACAGAAATAAAAGAACATTTTTCCATCTTCCTGCTGTCTTGTGAACTCCTGCTCCCATTGAACCCAGTAAACCCTGTTGTTCTCCTCTTTGCTGCCACTTAGGTAATACATACACTGACTCCATTGGCCACTTCTGGTGGATACATTTGATCAGTATAACCTGCTTCTCTTTAATATTGTTTATTTTCATGCTTGTTCCCATGACTATACTCAAACCTATTCAGCCCAAAGAAACCATAATTGCATGTGCATTGTTTTACGGCCCCGTCTCTTCCTCTGACCTTTAACACCATTTACAGTGAACTTGTTGCAGTAAACTTGACATGATTTTGGTATGTCATGCTGCCTTTGAGCACAGAGCGATCAAAGGTCTGAAGGTCCTGTGCAGACTCAAACTAAACTGAGCTCTGTGTGTGTGTGTGTGTGTGTGTGTGTATGCGTGCTGAAATATGTGTCAGCTAGCGTGTGTGTGCTCTCTCTGCCGTCTTTATCATTGACCTTTCCACATTCCACAACCTGCTTCTGGAAGTTGGCCGTCATTGGCTGCACACACTGAATGCTTTGTTTGAACTCCGCCTCGGGATTGGCAGGTTTGTGTGTTTCTGCCTCTGATACGTTGAGTGGACCTGTTCTTGCTGTATTTTTACTCTCACAGGAATGTCAACAAGTCTTCTCTTTGACTCCGACACCTTGTACTCTGTTCAATAGAAGATAAAAGACATTCACACATATGAGGAAGTGGTCATAAGTCTACTTGATTTGATAAGGAACTCCTTAAATAAACTGTTTAGATGTGTTTAATTGTGAGCTTTGGTTGTAAATCCATGTTTACTGATAAAGTGGAAAGGACAATTTGGATGCTGTTCAAGCAGCTTTATTGGTTCACTTACTCTCTTAATGGTTTTTAATGTTGACATTAAGGCATTAACTTTTTGTTTTCGGATGCCATTCTCAGTATGAATGTAAAGGAAAGGGTTAAGTATAATTAAAACAACAATGCTGGGACAATCCCTTGACCAAAGTCTAGTTGCATGTGTAATGATTTTTTAAATATCTGCATGCCTCTGTAAAGTCTTAGTGATGGATGTGTTTTATATTAGCAGGCAGGCATGGTATTTCACAGTAGGCTGCCTTGATCAGACTGCTTTGCACAGGTATAATTTAAGTGTCAGATGAGGTCATTTGACCAAAACAATAATGCTCTTCATAACAGTTTTTCTTCCTGCAACAATAGACATATATCATACGTCCACTCTTTTGTCGTAGAAATAACAATACTTTTATTTAGAATGCTGTATTACACAAAACAAATTACCAGTTTGTCTTTTTGGGCAGAAAAATACAAATGAACTTTGTTAATACTTGACAAAATCACTTGAAACTTTTGGTAAACTTCCAGCTGTTTTCTCTAAAAAAATATCTTTACTTGATTAATTTATTAACAAAACAGGTGGGGACTATTTAAATGCAATCTTACTTCATTTTCAATGTCCAGCTTTGATCTGTATTTTGTGTTGATTGGGCAACTGCTGAAAATGTTATCTCACTCAGGTATATGTGGCAAAAGGAAGGTGTTATCCTCAGGTGAAGCAACAAAAAGACCATACACACACACACACACACACACACACAACACTGCAGCATGTAACAGCGAGATATGACTTGTCATATTTTCTTGTCTTTGTTTTAATAGTTGTGACATCTGATGGTGTCGATTAGTGTTTACCTGGAAGTCCTCTCACAAAATGTGCCATGCTTTGCTGGCAGTGCAAAATTAGCGTTGTTTTAATTTCACCTTGCCACACCCCCTGTCATAACCTAGGCGCCCCCTCCTCGCCCTCACTTTGGGAATCACGGGGATAAATATTTGCATTTGTGGCCGGGCAACCATGTTGTGCTTATTACTGAGGCAGTAAATAAAATACAATAAAGGTTTGTATATGGTTTTAATGAATGAGTAGATCATTTGCAACTTCACCCTTTCAGTATACAGAACAGATGTAACATTAAACCAATAAGTGAGCATTTAAATTGTCCCCAGCTGTTTTGTAAATTAATTAATCAAGTTAGATTTTTTTTTTTTTTTTTTTAGAGAAACAGTTGGAAGTTTACCAAAAGTTTTAAGTGATTTTGTCAAGTATTGACAAAGTTCATTTGTATTTTTCTGCCCCAAAAGACAAACAGGTCATTTGTTTTTCAGTGTGTGATACAGCATTCTAAATAAGATCATTACTATTTTTACTGTAATTGTACACAGAAGTATAGATAGACAAGATGATCAGCAGCCAAATAATCAAGCTACATAAATGAGTCGGCACAAAAATCCCACTACAGCACCAAACAGGTTACAATTTACACCTGCGTGACGTCAGATTTATTGCATTTGACTGTAAGGAAGGAAGGGCAGTGAAAATGGTGACTTTTAATTTTATTTTTGTACTTCTATGTGACAGGATATTAGGGCGCTTGTCCTAATATCTCTCTCTCTCTCTCTCTCTCTCTCTCTCTCTCTCTCTCTCTCTCTCTCTCCCCTCCCTCCCTCCCGGTGACGTCATGAAACTGGGCCGCGGTGCGCTGAAACCATAGGAATGCGACACACTTTGTATTTACCAGACCAAAGCCACAACGCTTTGACTTTTCTGGACGACTCTTTGAAATAACTGTACCGGCTGCTTCTCGGGTAACGTGTCCGGTTCTTTCTTTCTTTTCTTTAACGAGGATGTGACGACGCTTCCGACGGCTTAACTTTGTTGGTTGTGTTCGCGGAAACAACTTTGTGGCTGCAGGGAGTCTGTGTTCTCTCTCCCGTCGTCCTCAGCTGCGTTTCCGACATGAGATCAGGTGGATAATGCTGCTGCTGCTGCTGCTGACTAAACGAGTAGTCTACCTGTGACTGAAAGTGAGTACAAAACCGACAGAGAGAAGATTATTGTATGCACGTTTATGTCGCTGAATTGTATTTGAAGTCGGAGTTGGTGGTGCGTAAAGGAGCTGAAGTTAAGAGGTGCAAGTTACATCTTGTGATTTGGCTGAACTGCGTTGAAAGTTAATCTGTGCCACAACAACAAAACGCTGTTGTTAAAATCTCACAGGGGGGATTATGTGAGTCAGAAAAACATAATAACTTTATTGTTCGGCTTGTTTGAATGGAGGCAGCGATAGAGTGAGGGGTTGTCTGTCTGTCTGTCTCCCTCCCCCTCCTCCCTCCTCCTCCCTCCTCCCTCCTCCCTCACTGTGACCATTCAAACCTGTTACTGAGGGCTCCATATTTGTGACAGTGTGACAGCTGCTGGACTCCCGCTCATCTGTCTCTCTGCACAAGTGTTGGTGACACATGGAGAGGAGGGAGTAGGATAGTGACTCTGTTACCTTGTGACCTCGGGCTTAAAGTCAGTAGGAAGTTAAATTCATGTGATCTTATTTACAGGAAGTTTGTTTCATACATTTGATGCCATTTAACAAAAAGGAAATAGTGTCATGTTTCTAGGTTAGAGAGAGGACGGGGGTTGTCCACCGCTCGATGTCTTTATTTTGTACCTTTATTATTTTATCTGAATAAACAACATTTCATTTCTTGATTAAATATAGATGCACAGCTTCACCACTTATGTCTCAAATTCAATCAAATTCAAATAACTTTATGTTATCCGTTAGAAAGCAGGAGTGCACACACAGCACAGAACAAAAATTAAAACCCCACACATTTCACATTCAACATCCAAACTGTAACCAAAGAGTACTGAGCGAGTGATATAACAAGTACTACATCAATACAACACATAATACCATCAGAGAAAACAGATGAATAAGAAAACAATTAAAGGATCTAAAAGGAAAACAGGTTAGCCATCTGACTATGTCTCACTGTAACTTCTATTGTTGAGAAAGGGGCAGGTATTATATGTTTTCTTCTTCCTGCTCATGTTTATTCCATGAGCGTTTATAAGGGTTTGGAGATAATAGTGTATCATGTATGTTGTGTTACTGAAATTAGCAAATAGTGGGAAAAATTGTGCTGCTGCCCGTCTCGGCCAGGGCACTCTTGAAAAATCTTTTTTTTTTCTTTTTTTTTTTTAATCTCAACGAGGTTTTTTCCTGGTTAAATAAATGAAAAATACTCCAAATATGAATTTAAGTAAAATTAATTTTTGAATGTTGTGATTTATTTCTGGGCATATTTTTAATCCATAATGTCCTCTCTCCCTTTTTTAACATCATACGGACAAAACCCTCACATGAGTAATATTTTTCTTAGCAAATATAAAGACGTTTGTGTAGAGCTGGTATTTAGTTCTGTCTTTGTTTGTCAATAATCAGGTGAATCTTAAACCACTTTTAATCTATTAAGGATATTCAATACAATAAACTATTTATCTAATCAAATTCCCCATAGGTTGCACTTTGGTAGAACATGATAGAGCAACTACTGTCAATGTTTTGTTAATATTTTTGGGGATCTTTCTGCCTTTCTTGGATAGGACAGCTGAGGAGAGACAGGAGATGTGGGGAGGAGAGAGAGTGGGGGATGACATGCAGCAAAGGGCAGAGGACGGATTCGAACCCACAGCTGCCCCGATGAGGAATATCCTCTGTACACGGGTCATGTGGAATAACCGCTAGGCTGTCGATCAGCACTCCAACCTTTGTTCAATATCAGACAAGAATTGCAGTATCGGTGTCAGTTACCATGAATGAAGCAACTTTAGTTTGTCAATGAAAACAGTCTTTTCAGTTGTGCTGCTATAAACGGTTACATACAGAGTGAGTGTTCAATCTATCAATAACCTGTCCGTCAAAGTTGATCAAACCACAGATTCAAGGGGGTCCCAACTGAAGAAAAGTTACGTGACAACAAGCGCTTTGAATAATTAAGATGAACTTTTAAGATTTAAGATTTTTTAGTGTTTATTGGTCACCTCTATCCAAGTGATACTCCGAGCTCATATATGCAGATATCAAAGTGCGGACATTAAAAAAAAGGTTTCTTGTCTTTAGTCGCTAATTGAGCATGTATAAATCGTCTTATGTAAAGAGTTACAGCAAACGACTATATTACATATAGCTGAAACATCACCTTTTTAACAGACTGTAAGAACAGGACTCTGATCAGATACTTGGTTTTGACCAGATGTATTTACTGTTTTTTAATGACCTAAATCATCTCTCAGTACATTTGACATCTCATGGTATCGACATCAGCTGGTCGATGCATTTTATGTCACAGGAACTTCAGTGACTGTAAAAACAAGTTCTCTATCTTAACTACCTAATTCAACATAATTGTAGACAGATGGAAACAGGGACTCTCTCTCTCTCCTCTCCCCCCCTTCTCTCTCTCTCTCTCTCACCCACACAATATTTAGCTTCACATTACTTCTAAGTCTCAACATAGAATAATTCTAACTCAGTTTTAGTCAATTTAGTCAATGATGTATAACTGAAAGTAAACATACTTTGCTGGAGGGTAGCGGTGTGAATGTGCAAAAACAGAGACAACAGTTTTACATTAAAGAGCCGTGCATACTGTACAGTCATGTTAAAGTGAAAATAAGTGTGCAGACATGTTAACAGCTAATGGACATGTATAACAAGCGGCTGCACTAATCAAACTTGAATGTGCAAGGATAATGTGACTTGTCTCTGTTCAAATAACCATGGATAACATTATAAATACAGCTGCATCAGTGTGGACACAGCATTTGACTAGTGTCAATACCAAAGGCAGAGTACGTCCCGTAGGAGTAGGGGAGGCAGACGATGGATATACAGTACAGTGCAAGTACCTCAGGTCTTTACTTCTGTACAGCATCTGTTACTTTATAACACTGTTTAAAAGGGCGGATGATCAGTAGCTCCAAGGTCACACAGCGTACATGATGTTTGCACAAGACTTTCTAAATCTAGGAAACACTGAGAGAGAGGAACAGTGTGTGTGTGTGTGTGTGTGTGTGTGTGTGTGTGTGTGTGTATGTGTATGAGTGTGTGATGCTTTCTCTGTTTGCCAAACTGAGAGGACAGTCTATTAATTATCACCCTGATTTTGCACAGCAAGCTAAAATAAGAGCGTCACAACAACAGCAACATAAACAAGAACAAGGGTAGCCTGACTGCTCTCTGCTCTTTGGTGTTCAGTGTCATTGATACCTGTGTACTTGTTACTCAAAGTTATCTCAAGGGAACATTTAGGTACAAGATACTGTAGTGTGGGAAACTGCCTGCTGACATCACTGCTAATGTTGTCTTTGCTTTGGCTGTTTTGTACTCGGGCCTGTTACCTCAGCAGATAAACCGGCTGCCGTTCAGAGGCTGTTCATCGGCTCAGTTCTTGAAACGAGGGCAGCTGTTAAATGTTTAGGATTCATTAATCATTGTTGCCTTTAGCGGAATAAGGAAGTCTCTATGCAATAATTTAACATATTCCAAAGATTTGCATTAGATAAGGGAAGCATTCACCTATAAGTCGAGCATAAGCAGCCAGCCATAGAAAAGATGTTGTGCGAGATTGAAACATCTTCTTGACAGACTTTAAAATTCACTTTTTGTATTTTTGTCATTTATCAATTGAAAGCAAACGAGTCATTATTAATATCTGAGTTTATTCGCCTTGTTTAAAGTCCTCCTAACCTGCACTGAATGAATCCTCCGGTGCTGTAAAGATTTACTTTGACCTTTTGAAGAGTGTTTACATTCCCCCTCTTAACCCCTGAGTGTTGTCAGTGTCTTCTCGGGAGCACAGCTATGCGAGGTATTTCTCAACAGAGCCGCAGTCGGGAAATCATTCAAGTATAGAGGGAAGAAACGTGTGATTCATCCTGTCTTATCTGACGCAGATGATGTGTTTTAAAAAGTGATTGTGTGTTTCACTTTTCCCTGAGTTCATGACGAGATGGATCCCAACATGATGAGATAGTTATTACCTAGGAAGAGAAACACTTCAACCCTTTATGTGAGCTGAGGTCACCACTGTGTTGGAGATACATTTTGTATCAAGCTGTTCAACAGATTCAACTTCTTTCTTAAGTAAAAATTATTTTCTGTGGCATTTCTTTTTGTGTATTGCTTGCTTTAGATTGATGAGTCGATGAATTTCACACATGGCAGTTGAAGGTAGTATAAAAAGGACAGACGTCATAGTTAGATGATGCATGCTCAACAGCAACTTCACAGCGATGCAGAAGTTATTAAAAGCAGCTGAGTTGAAGAAATATTAAGAGGAAAGCATCATACTTTGAGGGTGGCTGTGGCTCAGTGGTAGAGTCTGTCTTCTGTCAACCTGTGGGTCGGGGGTTGGATGCACAGCTCCTGCAGCCACATGTCGGATGTGGGCAAGACACTCCCGCTGCCTCGTCTGCGGCGTGTGTCTGTGTATGAATGGATTAGTTACTTGTGATGAACATTTAGCAGCCTCGGCCATCAGTGTGTGACCGGTGGTGTGAAAGCACTTTGCATGAACAGAAGACTAGGAAAGCACTATACAAGCTCAAGTCTATTTACGTTTGAAATAAGAAATAAACAGGACCCTGCTGCAATCCTGCTAAATTATTTCAGGGTGTTTTCTGCTTCAAGTTGAATGAAAATGATGTTTTTTTTACATTAATGTCAACTGATGAAATCTGTGGAGTGGAGTGATCGATGGCTCTGATAATGTGATTTGTTCCCCATCTCTTCTTGTGTCTGTCAACAGTATTGAATGATAACACTTTACATGTGTTGGCAGATTTAAAACTGCTGCAATAAATCAATAAAACAGACTTGCAAATCCTGTTTCCCAACATTCACTGCCTTTAAAAAGCTGATCCCGTTCCAAAAGAGCTTTTTGCTTATCCGACTGCTTCATTGCAGCTAAACAGTTGTTTTGACTATAGCGGTGTCTCTGAGTGTGGACCACCCACGTACAGT